AGAGGGTAGCAAGCCGGGAGACAAGTCTGACGGTCACAAGTCATCCGGGAAGAAGAATGACAAAGGTGACAAGGGGAAAGACAAGTCAAAGCTAGCTTGTTACTTGTGCGATGGAGCGCACATGATGCGGGATTGTCCGCAAAAGAAAGCCTTGAATGCTATGAACCAAGAGAAGGAAGAGGAGGCCGACAGGGAAGCAAGAATGGGGGCCATTCACCGTTTCAATGCTGTGCAGGCCAAAGTCGCTCAACCACAGGTTCAAGCCAAAGGTGTGATGTTCGTCGATGCCATGGTGAATGGTAAGACAACTCGTTGCCTGGTGGATACAGGTGCCTCGCACAACTTTATGTCCGTGCAGGAAGCAAAGAGACTTGGGTGTCGAGTCTCGAAGGAAGCAGGCAGTATGAAGACGGTGAATTCAACTGCCAAACCAATTGATGGAGTAGCTCGTGGTGTGGAGCTACACATTGCCACTTGGAAGGGAGTAGCTGACTTCTCCGTGATCTCAATGGATGACTACGATGTCGTGCTAGGAATGGAGTTCATGGACAAGGTAAAGGCGTTCCCCATTCCATTTTACAATACTATGTGCATTGCACAGGGTGGAGCAATGCCATGCATGGTGCCAGTGGTGAGGCAACAAGGCGAGACAAAGCTCTTGTCAGCCATGCAATTTTCCAAGTCTTGGAAGAAGGGCGAACCGACGTTCCTTGCAACTATGAAGATGGATATAGTTCAGAAGGAAGTCCAACCCGTCCCGAAAGCTGTGGAGGCAATCCTTAAGGAGTTTGCAGAGGTCATGCCCAAGGAGTTGCCCAAAACCTTACCACCTAAGAGGAAGGTGGATCATGCCTTCGAGGAGTTGAAGAGGGCACTTATGGAGGAACCAATGCTGAGACTTCCTGATCTTAGCAAACCATTTGAGGTACACACTGATGCATCAGATTCTGCTATTGGTGGTGTACTCATGCAGGATGGACACCCATTGGCTTTCAAGAGTCGGAAGCTCAATGACACGGAGCAGAGGATACGAGAGGGCTTGTTGCATGATCCCCAAAGTCTGTTGGAGCTTGTCAAAGATGGGAAGACAAGAAGATTTTGGCCCGATGATGGTGTTCTTTATGCAACAAGGAAGGTGATCTATGTTCCAAGGTGGGACAATCTGAGGCACTATGTGAGTGCCAACCAGCGAGATTGGGCAAAGTTGTTGGATGTTGCTCAGTTCTCATACAACTTGCAGCGGTCGGAGTCAACAGGGTCAAGTCCTTTCGAGTTGGCAACAGGACAACAACCTATGACACCGAACACAGTGGTGTCAGGCTACACGGGGAGTAGCCCAGCTGCATACAAAACAGCCAAGGAGTGGCAGGAGACTAATGAGCTGGCTCGGGCTCAATTGGAGAAGGCAACTCGGAACATGAAGAAATGGGCGGACAAGCATAGGAGAGATGTTGTGTTCCAACCAGGTGATATGGTCTTTGTGAAGCTCAACCCTTCTCAACACAAGTCCACTAGAAAGTTACACAAGGCGTTGTTGAGGAGATATGAGGGCCCATTTCCTATCATCCGATCAGTGGGAAGAGCTGCTTACCGTGTGGAACTACCACC